TTATTAGTAGTCACATTGTATATTAATTCTTTATATACCAAACCCTTATCAGAGAAATTTGATACTAAGATTTTTTTCCCATTCAACTGCTTCCCTTCTTATCCTAGGTGCATTAATTTTGTCTGTGCAGAATCTTTTCAGTGTTGTGTAATTAAAGTTATCCTGTTTTATCTTTTGTAATTGCCTCTATCCCTTGTTTGGTTAAGAATATATTACCTACCCATAGCTGTGAGATGTATATGATCTGCTTCTCTTCTAATGTTTTACAGTATGATCTTTAATATTAAGGTCACATATCCATTTAGAATGTATTATGGAATGTACTACAAAGTGTTGGTGCAAGCCTAATTTTTCTCAGACTGCTTTTCAGTTTTCCCAAGAAGTTTTATCAAATAGGAAGTTCAGGAAAGGGATTCTTAGCCCTTTTTGTGTCATGGACCCTTTGGCAGTTTGGTGAAGCCTATGGATCCCGTCTCAGACTTCTAAAAAATTTGTAAAACAAAACACACAGGCTTACAAAAGAAATCCATGATATTAAAGAGTTATTAATTTTTTTTAAAACAAGTTCATGGACTCCAGGTTAATAACCCCTGCTTAATCCCCAATTGATAAATGATCAAAGGATATGAACAGACAGTTCTCAGATGAAGAAATTAAAGCCATCTATAGTCATATGAAAAAATGCTCTAAATCGTTATTGATTAGAGAAATGCACATCAAAACAACTCTGAGGTACCACATCACACCTATCAGATTGGCCAACATGACAAAACAGGAAAATGATAAATGTTGGAGAAAATGTGGGAGAATTGGAACACTAATGCATTGTTGGTGGAGTTGTGAAATGATCCAACCATTTTGGAGAGCAATTTGGAACTATGCCCAAAGGGCTATAAAAATGTGCATACCCTTTGATCCAGCAATAGCACATCTAAGGCTGTATCCCAAAAAGATCATAAAAATGGGAAAAGGACCCACATGTACAAAAATATTCATAGCAGCTCTTTTTGTGGTGGCAAAGAATTGGAAATTGAGAGGATGCCAATCAACTGGGAAATGGCTGAGCAAGTTGTGGTATATGAATGTAATGGAATACTATTGTACTATAAGAAATGATGAACAGGCTGACTTCACAAAAACCTGGAAAAATTTGTATGGTCTGACGCTGAGTGAAGTGAGCAGAACCACGAGAACATTGTATACAATAACAGCCACGTTGTGTGATGACTAATATTAATAAACTTAACCCTTCTCAGCGGATCTAAGACCTCTCCACAGGCCTCGTGATAGAAAGTGCTGTCCACATCCAAAGAAAGAACTATGGAAGTTGAATTGCCATTTTTTTTCTCTTCTGCTGAGTTTTGTTTCCTCTTTCTGATGGTTCCTCCTATTAGTTTTAATTTTTACAAACAACATCACTAATGTGAAAATATGTTTAATAGGAACATAAATATGTAGCCTATATCAGATTGTGCCATCTAGGGGAGGGTGGTGGAGAGGAAGGGGGAGAAAAATTTTAAACTCAAAAGCATATGGAAGTGATTATTGATCAATCAAAATGAATTAATAAAATTTTTTTCTTTTTAAATATAAATTTATTTATTTTTAGTTTTCAATATTCACTTCCACAAGTTTTTGAGTTCCAAATTTCTCACCCCTCCCCCCACCCCAAGATGGCATGCATTCTGAATACCCCTTCCCCTGGTCTGCCTTCTCTTCTGTCTCTCCCCCCTCCCTTCTCTTATCCCCTTCCCCTTCTATTTTCCTGTATAGCAGGATAGACTTCTGTACCCCATTTCCTGTATTTCTTATTTCCCAGTTGCATGTGAAAACATTTTTTTAAAAACATGTGTTTTTAAAACTTTTGAGTTCCAAATTTTCTCCCTTCCTTCCTCCCCACCCACCCTCATTGAAAAGGCAAGCAACTCAATATAGGTTGTACATGTGCAGTTATGCAAAACTCTTCCTTAGTAGACATTTGTGAAAAACTAACTCTGTTTCCCTTAATCCTATCCTGCCCTCCCATTTATTCTATTCTTTCTTTTGACCCTGTCCCTCCTCAGAAGTATTTGCTTCTGATTACCCTCTTTCCCAATCTGCCCTCCTCTCTATCCCCCTGCTCTCTTGTCCCCTTCTCCCCCTATTTTCCTGTAGGGTAAGACAGATTTCCATACCCAATTGAATGTGTATGTTATTCCTCCTTAAGCCAAATCCTATGAGAATAAGATTCCCTCATTCCCTCTCACCTTCCCCCATTTCCCCTCCACTGTGAGAGACTTTTCTGTTTTTTTTTTGTGAGATAATTTACCCCATTCTACCTCTCCCTTTCTTCTCCGAGTATCATCCTCTCTCATCCCTTAATTTTATTCTCCAGATATGACCCCTTAATCTTCAACTCACCCTGTGCCCTCTATCTATCTATATATATACATACAATTTTTTTTCCTTCAACTACCCTAATACTGACAAAGTTCTCATGAGTTACAAATATCATCTTTCCATGCAGGAATGTAAACAGTTCAATCTTAATAAGTCTCTTATGATTTCTCTTTCCTGTTTACCTCTTCATGTTCCACTGGAGTCCTGTATTTGAAAGTCAAATTTTCTATTCAGCTCTGGTCTTTTCATCAGGAATGCTTGAAAGTCCTCTATTTCACTGAATGACCATTTTTTCCCCTGAAGGATTATACTCAGTTTTGCTGGGTAGGTGATTCTTGGTTGTAATCCTATCTCTTTGCCCTCCGGAATATTATATTCCATGCCCTGCGGTCCTTTAATGTAGAAGCTGCTAAATCTTGTGTTATCCTGATTGTGTTTCCACAGTACTTGAATTGTTTCCTTCTGGCAGCTTGTAATATTTTCTCCTTGACCTGGGAACTCTGGAATTTGGCTACAATATTCCTAGGAGTTTTCCTTTGGGGATCTCTTTCAGGAGGAGATCTGTGGATTCTTTCAATTTCTATTTTGCCCTCTGGTTCTAATATCAGGGCAGTTTTCCTTGATAATTTCTTGAAAGATGATGTCTAGGCTCTTTTTTTGATCATGGCTTTCAGATAGTCCAATAATTTTTAAATTCTCTCTCCTGGATCTATTTTCCAGGTCAGTTGTTTTTCCAATGAGATATTTCACATTGTTTTCTAATTTTTCATTCTTTTGGATTTGTTTTACAGTGTCTTGATTTCTCATAAAGTCACTGTCTTCCAATTGCTCTATTCTAATTTTTAAGGAAGTATTTTCTTCAGTAATCTTTTGGACTTCCTTTTCCATTTGGCCAATTTTTCTTTTTAGGGCATTTTTCTCCTCATTGGCTTTTTGGACCTCTTTTGCCATTTGGGTTAGGCTTTTTTAAGGTGTTATTTTCTTCAGTATTTTTTTGGGTCTCCTTTAGCAAGCTGTTGACTTGTTTTTCATGATTTTCTTGCATCACTCTCATTTCTCTTCCCAGTTTTTCCTCTACTTCCCTTACTTGCTTCTCAAAATCCCTTTTGAGCTCTTCCAAGGCCTGGGACTGATTCATATTTTTCTTGGAGGCTTTGGATGTAGGAGCTTTGACTTTGTTGTCTTCTTCTGGTTGTATATTTTGATCTTCTTTTTCACCAAAGTAAGATAATATAGTCTGACTCTTTTTGCGCTGCTTGCTCATGATCCCAGCCAATTACTTGAGTTTTAAACTCCTTGTTAAGGTAAGAGTCTGCTTCCAATGTGGAGAGTGTACTGTCCAAGCTTCAGGGGTTTGTGTAGCTGTTTTCAGAGATACTTGTAGGGACCTGTAAATTTTCAGTTCTTCCAAGGTGGTATGATAAGGGGCGAGGTGTTTACTCCTTTCCTGGCCTGTGACCACAAGTATTCCTTTCTGTCCTGTAACTGTGAGGAGGGGTTTCTCTCCACAGCCACTACAAGCTCCACCACGTCAGCACTCCTCCTCACCCCAGCACTGCCGCCCAGAACTGTGACCCAGATCCAAACACGGGCAAAGCAAGAGATTCCTGCCTCAGCACTGGCAAAGAGATCCCTGCAGTCCCCCTCTGATCAGCCAGTGGATTCTCCCTCAGTCTGTGGGCCAGAAGCTCAGGAAGCAGCTGCCCCGCCCAGGGCCAGGCTCTTGGGGAATGGAGCTGAGACCCCGCCTTCCTCTCTGACCACTGACAGAAACAGACTTTTCCCACTGACCTTCTAAGTTGTCTTTGGCATTAGTGGATTGAGGAGTCTGGAAACCTCCACAGCTGCCCGCAATTCAGTCCTCTGAGGCCTGCTCCAGGTTTGCTGCGGCCTGCGCGCCCATGCTGCGCTCCCAGACCGGCGCGATACACCTTTCTGATCAATCATCCAGGTTGTCTTGGGCTGGAAATTTGTTTCACTCTGTCTTTTTGTGGGTTTTGCTGCTTCAGAATTTCTTTAGAGCCATTTTTTATGAGTATTTGGAGGGGTTTGGGGGAGAGCTCAAGCAAGTCACTGCTTTCACTCTGCCATCTTGGCTCCGCCCCCAATAAAAATTTTTTAAAAAGAAAAAAAATAACCCCTGCTTATATCTTTGCTGAGAAAACTCCAACTAGTGTCACAAAGAGTCAGACATGACTGAAACAACTGAACAACAACAATAATCATAGTTGCGCAGAAGATGGGTTGGGATGGCATAGGCTGCCCCTGGAGGCAGCATGTGATAGAGAAAAGAGGACCATATCATAATATCGTCACTCCAGAGTTGGAAAGGACCTCAGAAACCATCTAGTCTGCATTGATAGGAGTTTCCTCCCCAGGAGTTCCTTTAACCAATGGAATCATAGCTCCAGTCCTCCTCCCTATTCTACCCAAAAAAGTTTTATTTTTTAAATATCCTACTCTTAAACTCATTTGATCACATTTTGGAGCCAGTTAATTTCCCATATAGTTTGTGTCATAGCTTTAGAGAATCTTCTGTGAGATTTGCTATAAACGATGACTTAACAGTGCAATTGAATGTGGATGTTTCTTTGTTCTGCTCTTAAAATAAAAACCCACAGGACCTAAACAGGCGAGTGTGGTGATCCTGCCCAGATCCTTTGCTGAGGACTTTGAAAAGTTCTGCCAGGCCAACAATGGCGCTCTGCCCCTCCTCTGTAGAGGCGAGCCTGGTGATTGGAAGCTGCCTACTCTGAGTGCTGGCTTGGATATCAGGTGAGTGTGCCAGAGTTCTGCAGAAGAGGGGTTTGAGCAAGGGGTGAAAACAGAACATTGTATTTAGACACCGAGGCTGTACTTGGTCTTCTGTATCATGTGATTTGGGATGGTACAGCTGGCCTTGGATGCTGCATGTTGTAGAGGCCTATATCATAAGAACTGGAGAGAACTTGGAGTCAGGAACACCGAGTTCAAATCCAGCCTCAGAAACTTCCTAGCTGTGTGACCCTGGGCAAGTTATTTAACCCTCTGTCTGCCTCAGTTTCTTTAACTGTAAAATGGGGATAATAATGGCACCTATGTCCCTGGGTTGTTGTAAGGATAAAATGAAATTATATTTGTAAAGCACTTGGCAAACCTTAAATGATATACAAATGCTAGTTATTTTATTGTTAATGATAGTAATACTGAGGCCCAGGGACCTTAATGACTTACATAAGGTCACACAGGTCGTAAGCATTAGAGGCAGATGTGAACCCAGGCCCTCTGACTCCAGAACCAGGATGTTTTTATTCTGGACTTAGGAGTCAGAAGACCTGGGTTTCAGTTCTTGATGTGCCACTTAATAGCTGTATGAGCTGTGGGAAGTCACAGCACCCCCAATGAGGTGATCTGTAATATCCCATCCAATTCTAACAGTCTGTGGCTTTGTGAACTCCCTGGCCAGCATCTCCATTGTCCTGTGGGAAAGATTAACCCTGGGAGAAAATTATGCCCTACTGGCTAGAGAGGCCTCTGGCCTCAGCAGTTTTGTCAGAGAATGACCTACCCAGTCATGCAGTGGTCTGCCAGGTGAGGCTCGTCAGCACTGAAAATATTGATCTGATGGATGAATACCAGTCACACCTCTTCTCTACTGCAGGAGGAATCTTTACATCAAGAGGGAGGTAGACCCAGGTGGTTCTAAAATTCTAGGATCGATTCCGTTCCGTAAATATTAAACATCTATTATATGCTGGAACCGTGCTAGGTTAAAAGTCAATTTTCCTGCTTTCGTGGAGCTTGCAGACTAGTGATGGGTATGATACATGTGTGAATAGCTGTAGTACCAAATGGGATATGTTAATTATCATCTCTATGCAGGTGATTCCTAGATCTCTGTATCCAGCCCTTGTCTCACTTCTGAGCTCTAGTCCCATATGACCAACTGTTGATTGGATATTTCAAACTTGATATCTTAGAGGCATCTTAAACTCAATCTATCCAAAACAGAACTCGTTCTGTTTCCTCCAAAACCTTCCATTCTTCCCAACTTCACTTTCACCGTCAGAGGCACCATCCATCATGCTCCCATTCACCTAGGCTCCAAACCTCAGTGTCATTCTGGACTCCTCATTCTCACTCACCCCACATATCTGGCCATTTCTACCTTCACAGTATCTCCTGTATACATCTCCTCACCACTCCCCTAGCCACAGCCTTAGTACAGACCTCATCACCTCTCACGTGGACTACAGCAATAGCTACCTCAAAGATCTCCCCATTTCGATCCATCCTCCATTTGTCTGTCAAAGTGAATTTCCTGAAGCACAAATCTAACTATTTCAGCCCCCTGCTCAATAAATTCTAGTGGCTCTCTTCTAGGATCAAATATGAACTCATCTCCTTGGCATTTATAACATTTCATAACCTCTCCCCTTCTTTCAGTCTTCTTATACTTGATTCTCCTACCTCCACACACTGTACATACGCTCCAGCCCTCTTCTCCCATCTTTCTGCCTTTGTATTGGCTATCTGACCATACCGAATAATCTCCTGCCTCACATCCACCCGTTAGTTTCCCTGGATTCTTTCAAGACTTGGCTCATACACTACCTCCTGCAAGAGACCTTACCTGGTCTTCCCACATGCTAGTACCTTCCCCTCTGAGATTACCTTCTACCTAGTTTGTATATATCATGTACATAGAAAGTTTTTTGCATGTTATCTCCCCCGTTCGAATGTAAGCTCCTTGAGGGACTAATTCTTCCTTTCTTTGTATGTCCAGTATTTGTCATAATTTGAATGTTTGAATAAGCTAGATCCCTTAGTAAATATAGACTATATCGAACATTCTCTCTAAAGTTGAATATCTAGCAACTAAACTCTTAGACACATAATAAGTACTTAATATTTGGTTATTCACTCACTGACTGAATGGATTAGAGGAACAAGAAGAGGGCTTTGTGGTTTGTATCCTTGAGGTTAAGGGTTATTACCAAATGCAGGGATAGTGGCGGGGGGGGGGGAGAATCGAGATTTCATGGAGGAGGCTCCAAAGTATGGGGAGACCAAGATAATTCCAAAAGACTCATGATGGAAAATGCTATACATCCAGAGACAGAACTATGGAGTCTGAATGCAGATTGAAGCATTCAATTTTCACTTTCTTTTCTTTTGTGGTTTTTCCCTTTTGTTCTATTTTTTCTTTCACAACATGGCTAATGTGGAAATATATTTAACATGATTACACATGTATGATCTATATCAGATTGCTTGCTATCTTGGGGAGGGAGAGGGAAGAATAAAAATTTGGAACTCAAAATCTTATTAAAAATGAATTTTGAAAACTATTTTTACATGTAATTGGAAAAAAATAAAATACTATTAAAAGAAAAAAAAACAAAGTATGGGTAGAAATGCAATTGACAAAGGGCTGGGTAAGAGTAGGGAATTCTAGGGCTAATGAGCAGTGTGAGTAAAGTCATGGGGGTGAGACACAATTAGGGGACAGTGGCAAGTAGTCCAGTTTTGCTGGAGTATAGAGCTAGTCTATACTCAACTTAAATTCTATAGCTGGCAGTAGTATATTTGTTACAAAGGTTTTATTGTTCTTTCTTTTTCAATTGGTGGGGAAAGGTAGAGAAGGCAGATTTTAGTTTATTAAAAAAATTTTTTAAAAGAAAGGAAAAAAAGATATAATCAATGGAAACCCATGCTGTACTCTTAAGGGTAGTGTTTTTGGCAAAGTGGAAGCCTGGAAAAAGTATTATCAGGGGATTTCTAGCTTCTTGTTTGATCACGCACGATAAAGACCTAAGGAGCTTAGGAGTACCTGTCCGTTACAGATATGAGGAGTACTGGAATTTGATTGGAAGTCCCTTGGAGAAATTTCTGGTTGGTTTATTGTGCTTCATACATACTGTATTTCATCCATACCTATCTCAGAGTAAAGGTGGGAATGTTTGTTGAATTTATTCATTAACTCGACAAACAAAAATGAGCATTTTTTATGTGTAGGGCACTAAGCGAGTAATTCAGGTCACACTAAGACTTTTGGGATATCCTGTAAAAAGATGAGTAAAATATGATTCCTGACTTCGTCGTCGTTCATTCCTTTAAAAGTAACAAAATATTATCATTATTATTGTTCATGAAAAGGTCCTCTAACCACTGTTAGGGTTCTCTAGCTACTGATGGAGTCCTTTAATCACTGATAGTCAGGGTCCTCCAGCCACTGACAAAGACTTGGCTTAGAGAAGAAAGGAGTTAGAAAGTGTTGCAAAAATGCAGCTGTTCCCACCTTGTGCCTTATCACCACCCAGCCCTTTGGTGTTCTCTGTGCTCAGGCAGCTTAGGAGTACAGTCCAACAATTAAGATTTCCTTGGGGAACACATGTAGCATAGGAGTAACTCACAGATACAGGTCACAGGATAAGTGACCAGGAATGCCCAAATTCTATGGCCTCATCCCTCTGATAGGCTAAAATCCTACCTGTATCCTTCCTTTCTTCTCCTGAAATGCTCTTACCACAGAACTAGGGCATCCAGGCATTGTAAGAGCATTGAATTGCAAGAGCAGAATGGCAATAGCTGTTGCCAGGTGCCATAAGCAGGAGGTCCAGCCTCTTTCCTGCTCCAGTACTGCCTAAAGGTAGCATATTAAAGGAGAGAGAGCCCAGGCCTCTGGGTTAGTGTACCCTAAACTGGACCTTAAACTACAATTCTAAAGCTGATTGTCGAAAAGAGGAAGGGCAAGAGAGCCAGGGATGACTTCTTTCTTACAGAATTGTGCCAAAAAACTGTTTCTTACCTGAGTATCTTTCCCTGGGTGTGTCTGTGGTTCTCTGTGCTGTGTTGGCTTGGAGCCCTAGAGCCAGAATACACTAAAAGGCTGAGCTGGGCTGACTCTTCATCCCAAGGTCAGCAACAGTTGTGTTCTTGACACAAGAGCCCATGCTGGTTATCAGATGTGAGAGCCCAACAGTTAATAAGGTTTTGCACAGCACTGTCATGAAAGGTCATCTCCAATACTGGCAGTGAAAGCCACCTGTTATATGTGCTGGATGTAGACAGTACCAGAATGGGAGGCAAACTAGTACCCTCTTCTGGGCTGCTGTGTACAGTACTACCTTGCTGCCTTCACAATTCAGTTGTTCTGTCTTAATTGCTGGGCTGATAATTAATAAAAATAAATATTCTTACCTTTTTCAAAATTAACGACTAGGTGTCAGGGTCTTCAGAACTAATGTCTAGGAGAAAGATGGAATAAAAATATAGAAAAGATGGCCAAGGGGAGAAAGGAAGGAAAAGCTAAATTTTTTCATGCTTCATTTAAATTATACTGTTAGTTCATTTGTTAGTCTATCCATTCGTTCATGCATTTATTCAACAAATATTCAGAGTCATAGAACGTAAGTGCTATATGTTAGATTCAGGACTTTAAGGATCAGAGACATAAGCCAGGCTCTGCTTCAGTTAACTTAAGAGTTTATTGAATAACACACAAACCAGATTACATTACTGAGGCATAAAAAGTACAAAGAGATGTGTGTTCTTTGGTCAGCTTCACTGCCCCCTGCTGGGTATCCATCTTTGTTCAGCTAATTGAAATGAAGTTTTACATATAATTGCTCCCAGAAGGTCAGCTCTATCTAGATTAAAAACAGCCTAGTCACTGGATAGCCTATAGTTTTTGTTTGTTTGTTTAAATTTTTTTCATTTTTTTCATTTTTAAAATTGTTTTTATTTTATTAAATATTTCCCAATTATATGTAAAAAAATTAACACCCATTTAAAAATGCTTTTGAATTTCAATTTCTCTCCCTCCTTCCTGTTCCTCCCTCTCCTCCCCCCTCTTTAAGAAGGCAAGCAATTTGCTATAGATTATACATGTGAAATCTTGCAAATCTTATTTCCATGTTAGTCATGTTGAAAAAGGAAACACAAATGAAATACAACAAAAATACAGGTTTGTTTTTTTTTTTAAAGTACACTCACTCTTCATGCAGAATTCATCAGTTTTCTCCCTGGAGGTGGATAGCATCTTTCATCATGGGTCCTTTGGTATGCAGCTGAATAAGTAAATTAACTTAGGTAGAACTGTCACTTTTATTATATTGTCTTGGTCTACTCATGATCGATTAATATTTCTCCAGTTGTTTAGATCTGTCTTCATTTGTGTGAAAAGTGTTTTGTAATTGTGATCATATAATCCTTGGGTTTGTCTTGGAGGTAGACTCCTAGGTATTTTGCATTGTCTGCAGGATGACCCATGGCTCCTGAGGACTGTGTGGCTTTATACTGAGGTTAACACATCTTACAGATGTACCAAGCTAGAGTAAGTAGATAAGTCTAAACTGTTGGTAAAACTCCTTCGAGTCAGGGCTTGTACTTGTGGCTATTCACGAGTCATTCCAGATAGAATCAGTATTGTCAGCATGTTGCTCCTCCCACCCTGAGTAGGCTTAGTCTGATTGATCTAATTGGACTAAGCATGTTGGAAAAGGTCTTTCAGATAATCTGGTCTGGAGGGTTCCTAACCTGGGGTCCTTAGACCCCTCAGAAGGTAGATGGATATATTCTAGAAGGTCCATGTACTTGAAAGGAAAAAATACATCTTCATTTAGTAGAACTGATTTCCTTTGTCACCCTATATATTTCATTTTATGCATTTAAAAGCATTGTTCTGAGAAGGGGTTCAGAGGTTTCACCCGACTGCCCAAGGGGTCCATGTCACACACAAAATCTATTTCAACTCTTTCATTTTATAGATGAGGAAAATGAGATACAATATAATGATCTTCTAGATTTAAGGAAGAGAGACACAGCCTACACTCATGAAGAATTTCTCTGGGCAAGTCACTTAACCCTGATTGCCTCAATTTCCTCGTCTATAAAATTAGCTGGAGAAAGAAATGGCAAACCATTCCAGTATCTTTTCCAAGCAAACCCCAAATGGAGTCACGGAGAGTCTAACACTACTGAAAAATGACTCAACAATGAATAAACCAAAAAGGTCACAAAACTAATTAGTTGTGGAACTAGAAACCAGTTCTTCCAATTCTCATTCCAGAGTTCCTGTGCCATGCTGATTTATTGAGCACCTACTGATTCATTGTCAGAGGATTTGGGTTCAAATCCCAACTCTGACACTTACTGTCTGTGTAGCCTTGAATAAATCACACAGTCACTCAATTTCTTACCTGTAAATTGAGAGGGGTAGAGTAGATGGCCTTTAAGGCCCCTTCTAGCTCTAAATCTATGGTCCTGATCTGTGAAAACACCTGAGATACAACATGGAATAGTGGTTGGAGAGCCGACTTTGGAGTCAGGAAGAATTGAGTCAAAGACGCACATGTAACCACATGCGCTGTTCTCTCAACTCTAAGTTATAAAGGAGTTGCTGATATGCATTGGTGGGGAGAGCTTCTACACCAGGAAGTTCCTGGAGGCAATGAAATCATAGAATAAAAAAAACCTTATCTTTTTATCAAAAAGATAGAAAGAAAAAGTGATCTTATTATGTGTAAGGCAAGTTGTCCATACCTGAGGACAAGGAAAGAAAAGAATTGGACATTGCCAATTGTAGAACAGTCCATGACTACAATTGTTTAATGGTCTCGCCAGAAACAATGGTCCGCAGTACAAGAAATATGAATTTGGTTCCTGTACTGACAACTTGACAAGCCTAGAAGGTTATTCGGAACAGCTTAAAGACATGGTCGTGTTCTACTTGGGCTGTAGCATCTCACCTAAAGAGGCCATGCAGAAGATGGGGATTCCAATAAGGAATAAAGAAAGTCACTGCAACATGGCCATATACAAGGTAGGACCTGGGCAGGAAAGTGGCAGAATGGGTTTAAAAATTTAACTTGCTTTCATTCTTGTATCTCAACTAACCAACTTTACTTTAAAGTCCTTGGTTTGGCATTTAAAATTCATCTTAATATGGCTCCTGGTTACCATCTCCAGTCTTCCCTAGACTGTAAGCTCCCTAAGGGCAAAGAGTGTCTTTTTCCTCTTTTTTAACCCCAGTTTGTATCCCACAATGTCTGGCCCATAATAGGTACTTAATAAATGCTTATTGATCGATCTTATACTTTACTCACCTCCAGCCACCCTAACCTATTTACTATACCTGACACCATCTCCCATCTCTCTGCCTTGGCATCCATGGTCCCTCATGCTTGGAATATTCTCCTGCCTCACCTCCATCTCTTAATTTTCCTAGATTCCTTCAAGAGTCAGTTGAAATTGAGCTAGGCTCTCAGCTCACTTCTTTTTGTATCTGCTGTTCTGCCTGGTTTCAACTTCCTGCAACGAGACTCCTTGTTCCTCCCCATTCCTGCCTCCTTTTATGTGTTGTTCCCCATCTAGTCCTGTCCCCTCCCCCCATTGGCTTGCAAGCTCTTTGAGGGCAGGGAATGTCTTTCTTTTTATTAATTGTATATCGTCAGCACTTAGCCTAGTGACTGACACATGATAGGTGCTTAATAAATGTTGATTGGATTGAAGGCCTTTTCTGGTCCCCACAGCTGCTAGTGACTTTCCCTCTGAGATGAACCTTCATCTAATTCTGTTTATATCTTATATATATCTAGTTTTTTACTGGGGCAGCAAAGTAGATACAGTGCTGGGCCTGGAGTCAGGAAGACACATTTTCCTGAGTTCAAATCAAGATTCAACTCAAAAAGTACTTAATAAACAGCTGCTAGGGCAGGTTTCTGGGTTCTAAGGACACAAAGACAAAATGAATCTATCCCCTGACCTCAGGGAGCTTACATTAGGCAGCATTGTGTGGTTAGCTAAAAGAACCCTAGCCTGAGAATCAAGGAACCCAAGTTTAAGTACCATCTGCCACTAACAGGCGTTATGTAACCCTGGGTAAATAATTGCTCCTCATCTATGAAAAGGAGGGTTGGATAATGTGATCTTTAAGGATGTCTCACCATGCTAACATTCAGTGATTCCATTTTTGTTGTAGTTCAGTCATTTTCATTCGTGTCTGACTTTTCATGACCCCATTTGGGGTTTTCTTGGCAAAGATACTGGAGTGGTTTGCCGTTTCCTTCAGCCCATTTTACAGATGAGGAAATAGAGGAACAGGGTGAAGTGACTTGCCCAGGGTCACACAGCTAGTAAGTTTCTGAGGCTGGATTTGAACTTAGGAAGATAAGTCTTCCTGGCTTCCAGCCCAGCATTCTATCCACCCCAATGATTCCATAACTAGAAACAGATTTGAGTTTCTATCTTTTATAAATGAAGCATGAACCTTGAGTTGTCTTTTATGATAATGGTAAAATATTTGGGATATTCTCTAACCTGGTCCTCTTTCTGGTCAGTGGCATGACTTTGTGAGAATAATAACAATAGTACTATAGAAGTTTGGTGGTGCGGTGGATAGAATGCCAGGCCTGGAGTCAGGCAGACTCATCCTCCCAAGTTCAAATCCAGCCTCAGACCCTTCTTAGCTGTATGACCCTGGGCAAGTCACTTAAACCTTTTTGCCTCAGTTTCCTCATCTGTAAAATGAGCTGGAGAAGGAAATGACATCAGATGTAGATGAAGATATATTTTCATGACCTCAGCCAGACATTCTCCTCAATGGGTCCTGTGTTCAAATCTTGTCTTGCTACTTACTATCCACATGACCTTGGGCAAATCACTTTCCCATTCTGGGCCTCATTTTGTTTTTATGTAAAATGAAGATACCAGATTAGATGATTTCTAAGGTCCTTTCCAGATCTAAATCCTCTTAACCCCTTATCATATCTGGTTATATTCATCAATCAACCAACAAGCATTTATTAAGTGCTCCTATGGCCTTCTTTGGTAGACAGATCCTAGTTCCTCATTGGTTATATCCTTTTGGAGCTTTTGTTTTTGGGAAGGACCAGGAGGCCAGCCATGTTTACGCTTCTATTCTTCTCTGAGCCCTTTCCCTGACTCTCTGGACTTCTGTCTACACTGTGCCCCAATGTGGATATGTGCTACCACCCCCACTCACATATACTTTCCCACTTCCTTTTATATGTTGTCTTCCCCTATTAAAATACAAACTTCCTGAGGGCAAGGACTGTCTTTCTTTTGCTTCTGTTTGTATACCCAGCACTTAGCATGATGCCTAGGATATAGTAAGCACTTAATAAGTGCTCGCTGACTGCTGTATGCTGGGCACTCTTCTAGGTGCTAAGGATACAAAGTCAAAAATGAAATAGTGCCCTCAAGATACCTGCATTCTATTTTATTAGCTCCTGTGCTTCCAAAGGGGGAAATAGCAAACCGTTCAGAAGTCTAAAATAATTTTATTGGTGTTATATTAGTATTTCATTTTGATATATTAATTTATATTTCATTTATATTCTTTCATTTATTTTCTTTATTCATTTATATTATTTATTATTATGTTTTATATATAATTGTATATGTAATTATATAAATTTTTAATATATGATATGGCATATCGTATATATAATAATTACAGATATAATTATGTGTTCATAATAATTGTATATTCATAAAGCAATATTTATATATGATGTTATTGCATTATATGTTTATTATATGTTATATTGTTTATGATCATGTTGTTCATCTATATTATTTATGATCATGTTATGCTTATATTATTTGACATGAATAATATTAAGATAAGTTACACACATGATGCTTTAAGTTAGATTAGAGCCAAGATATTCTCAGTAGACTTTAATACAGATCTTTTAAAAAGAGCTTTTGGAAAGGCTTTTTCAAAAGAGCCAAGATGCCAAAATCCTTTCAATGGAAAGATCCACTCATCAAAGGCAAGATAAATCTTCCTAGGCTTCTTCAGCCTTTTAAAAAAAACAACAAAAAACCCCGAGACTTATGATTTCTTATATAAAGGGCGTTCCCGGAGAGAAACTTCCTCTACCAAAATAGGTCTGCAACAACTTGCCTAGAATACTGAAAAGTTATATCATTTGGGTCATACAGCTAGTATACGACAGAGGCAGGATTTGAACCCAGGTCTTCCTGGCTCAAAGGTCAGTTTTCTATCCACTATACCATAATGCCTCTTTTGCTATGTGTATTGTAGAAGATAGAAAGCTAGCTTCAAAGCCAGAAAGACCTGGGTTCAAATCCTGCCTCTGACAAGATGAGCTATGTGATCCCAGGCAAGTCATTTAACTTTTCAGTATGAAGGCTCTTTGCTGTTGTTCAGTCATTTTTTTCACTTGTGTCCAACTCTCTGTGACCCCCATTTGGGGTTTTCTTGGCAAACATACTGGAGTGGTTTGCCATCTTCTCCAGCTAATTTTACAGAAGGGTAAACTGAGGCAAATAGGATGAAGGGACTTGCCCAGGGTCATACAGGTAGTAAATGTCTTAGGCCAGATTTGAACTCAGGTCTTCCTGACTCCAGGCCTGGCTCTCTATCCACTGTGCAACCTAGCCGCCCCAGAGGCAAACTAAAACTCTAAATTGCAGAGAAGATGCTTACTTGAATAAGAAATGAGGAAACTATGTTTTACATAACTTTACATGTATAATCGATATCATATTGCTTGCCTCCTCTGGGGGTGGAGGAGGGATGGAATCTGGAACTCATAACCTTTTTAAAAATGTTTAATAAAGCAATAAATAAAATATTTAAAAAAAAGAAAAATGTTAAAAATGTTTACATGTAATTGGGAAATATAAAAATATATTGAATTGGTAAAGAGAGCTTCTTATCTAGGAGTTCCCTTTTACCCCTGAAATCACAGGTTCAGCCCCTATGCCTGTCCTTCCAGGATATGAGATCTGGAAGGGACTTCAGAAGTTGTCTTATCATGACCTTTTAAATTGCATTACCTTGAATTTTAAAAGGATTTTTCTTGACTATACTTATTTGTTATAAGGAAGGGCTTTTTATTTTTTTGTGGGGGAAGTGGGTGGGTAATGATAATGGTGCAAAAAAGGGGGGGGAGGGTTTAAAAAAGCCTAAATTTCCACTAATTTCATGTTTATGTGGTATGCTTTGCTAGACAGCCGTTCCTTGCTCCACTGTTGGCAGCTTTTGCTGCCCTCTAGTGGTCACCATGATGCCTATTCCCAAGGACAAACTGGAAGCCATTCTTCATGACATTTACCTAACCAGAGGTTTACAAGGAGAACCCATTCACATTGGCTGCCCAGGTCAGTGACTCCACACGTGTCCCACTGTCCAAGTATTCTATTATCCCAGTTTAAGACTGCGCAGAGGAAGCAGATGGCTCAAAAGGAGTGTGGCATTCCATTGAACTCATTGCATTTCTAGGATGGGGAATATAGGTCAAAGTTAGCCTGGAACTCTCTCCCTAACTTCTCTGGCTTCCTTCAAGTCTCAGCCAAAATCTTACTTCAGCAAGAATCCTTTCCTGATTCCCCACCTTAAGACTAGCGCTTCCCTGTGCTGATTCTTTTCAGTTTATCTCATCTATATCTAGGTGGCACAATGGATAGAGTGCTGGGCTTGGCATCAGCAAGACTCATCTTCCTGACTCATGTAGCCTCAGACACTTACTAGTTGCATGACCCCAGGCAAGTCACTTAACCCTGTTTCCCTTAGTTTCCTCATGTATAAAATGAGCTGGAGAAGGAAATGGCAAACCAGTACAATATCTTTGCCAGTGAAACCTCAGGTTGAGTCACAAAGGGTCTGACGTGACTGAAAGGACTAAGTAACACAGAATGATTGTGAGCCCTCGTGGAAAGTCAGACACGACTGAAAAATGATGGAACAGCAAAGGAAACTGAACAAGAACAGTATCTTCTTAGCAACAGCTTTTTTGAAGGTTATCTTCCTATTAGATTATAAGCTCCTTGACAGCAAGGGCTGTCTTTTACCTTTCTTTGTATCCCCAGTGCCTCGCATAGAGCCTGGCCCAGAGGAAGCATTTAATAAGTGTATCAAGTGTATCTTGACTGACTGACGGATTGACAAAGGAATCTGAAAGACCCTTGCAGAATTTGGCATCGAATCTTATGAGGGCCCCATTCTTTCTGAAGGTAGGCTGAGGTCCTGTTAGTCAAGTCTGTGATCCCAGTAACCCACTTCCCATCTTCCTCTTTAGGAAATCAGCACATGAACATCAAGAATTACCTAATCTAATTGTACCTGAACAAGAATCTTCTCTATATGTGTGACAAGTGGTCTTCCATCTCTATTTGAAGACCCCCCCCCCGCTCCACACACACTAATAGGGGACCCACTGCTCTCCAGCCCATTCTCCATTTAGATATCGCTAATTGTTAAGCTTTTCTTTCTATCAAGCCTAAATCTGCCGTTCTGCAGCTCCTACTCACTCATTATTCCTAATTCTACAAGTCTAATACCTCTTCTAACATGACAACCTTTCAAATACTTTAAGAGTTATCATCTCACCCTCCCCCACCCCTCCCAGAAGTTTTCTCATATCCCGGCTAAACATCCCCAGTTTCTTCAGCCCATCCTCATCCAGAATAATTTTAGAGTCATCATCCTGGTAGTTCTCCTTTGCACTTCAGTCAGTCAATCAGGCAGGTATACAGTCAGGCAGGCAAACATTAAATGACTGCTATATGCCAAGCACTGTGCTAGAGGCAGCTGGAGATTAAAAGTGAAAGACCAAAAATAAAATGAAGCTATCCCTGATCTTATGGGATTGAAATGAAATAATCCATTGCTCTTATATTTGGAAGCAACATTTGCATATCTAAGTAGCTACAGAATAAAAATATATAGGAAAATACAAAAGAGATGAATACAAAGTGGTATTGATGGAGGGAAGGAGTGCAAAGAAGGAGGGAGGAAGGGTGTGAGGGAAGGAAGGTGTCGAAGTTGGGGGGGGCAGGACAAGGGTTAAGAAAGGACTTCTCCAGCTTGTCAATGACCTTTCGAAAATATGGTATGCAGAAAAGAACACAGTATACTAAAAGTCATCCCACCAGGCCAGAATACTATCAACTCCCTTGTTCTGAACATTTAACATAGTCCAAGATCACTAGTGGGAATGCTGATATTTTGTAGACATAAAGCTACTATTGAGTTCAGATGAAAAAGATCCGGCCTGAGCGTAGGATGAGTGTGTTCCCTGTGTGATTTCGTTTGCCCAGTAATGCAAAATTCTGGAAAGGAAGTTGAATAAAATTCCACTGAAAAGAAACATTGGGGTGGGAGTGGGGGAGTTGATTTCTGTGATTTCTCTGTTGTAGGGGATTCTTGGTATGTCAATTACCTCCACCAATGTAAATCAGCAACTCATCTATAACTTGTAGTCTTAGTTGCCTGGGGCCACTTGCCTATGATCATATAACTAGTATGGGCCATATGCCAGAGTCTTCCTGATGCCAAGCATGGATCTCTAACCACTAGGCAATGCTGCCTTTGTACTTTGTTAAAAATACGTATAATAATAACATGCTATCATTTTTATACAAAACTGATGACCCTGGCCTACATCAGTAGAACATATTAGTAGTCATATTTCTACAAGTGGGAATGAGTGTACATTGAGTGATTTACACTCTCTGACTCCATCCTCCTTATATACAATGACATTTATCTATTGGGCAGCCAGTCAGGGCTCAGAAATAAACTCTGTGGCTAGCAAGCAGTTTTGATTTGTACCATTAACTGGTCGGTACGAGGACTGGACTTATAGCCTGGACTTTGCTGGTGCTATGTTCTAACCAAAGAGAAAATTAAAGAAAATAAATCTCTTATATGGAAACTTACTGGGTGCAGTGGATAGAGTGCTGGGCCTGAAATCAGGAAGATCTGAATTCATATTTGGCCTTAAATAATCAATAAATGTTTATTAAGCGCCTGCTACGTGCTAGGCACTGTGTGAAGCACTGGAGATATAAAAAGAGGCAAAGCAGAATTGAAATAGCTCAAAAGAAACACGAGATGCACAGATTTAGAGAATCCACCCCAAATGTTCACATGGACTATTTGTACCCGACCTGTGGTAGAGCATTCCAAGCTCGTACTGGTCTGATCAGTCAGTCAGACACACTGTGACTTGAGTCTAACATAGTGGTGTCATTTTGCTCCTCTTAGAGAACAGAGAATAACAACCAATCAGCCAGCACAGTGCCTGGCACGTTATAGATACTTAATAAGTGCTTGTTTCCTTCCTTTCTTCCTTATTTCCTCCCTCCCTTATTTCTTCCTTATTTGTTCCTTATTTCCTCCTTCCCTTCCTTATTTCTTCCTTATTTTCTTCCTCATTTCTTCCTTCCTTCCTTATTTCTTCCCTCTCTTCTTAATTTCCTTCATTATTTCTTCTTTCCTTCCTTCCTTCCTTCTTACATCTTAAGAGATGTTTAAAAAAAACAACACAGCCCTATGTGAAAAGCTCCGGGTGTGTGTATGTGTGTGTGTGTGTGTGTGTGTGTGTGTGTGTGTGTGTGTGTGTGTGTGTGTGTGTGTGTGTGTGTGTGTGTGTGAAAGATTCCTCATTCTTTTGACAGATATGTCTACATATACATGGTTTCTCTATTTCAGTTGCACCAGCCCAGAGGTGCATCTGTCTGTATGACACACCACCTTTCTCCTTCTGCCCTCTCTAGACCTGTTGGGAATTGAAGATCGTTCCAAACCAGACCATGGGGAACCACTGATGCTTCAGCCAGGAGATGTCCCAGTGTTTTGGGCCTCAGAGTTGACAAGCCTGGAAGCTGTTAGCAGCTGCAGTGAGTACACTTTCATTATGACTTCTTTTCCAGAGCAGGTGATGTAATCTGGATGAATTAATGGCCATGGCCTTTGTTAGGTTTAACACTGAATTTAAGAGCAAAGAGTGGAGTCATGTCACCCGCAGTCAGCTCCCCTGGAATTAATCTCCCTATTTTATCCCTTAAAAATTTGTGCTCTCTCCCAGTATTGGGTTTCCATTCTAGGGAATCTTTGCAAGGCTTGGTGCAGACCACATCACTACAGAGAAAGGCAGTAGAGCTGGGGACCAGTGACTGTCAGTCTTTTTGTACTGACATTGGACAAGCACAAAGAACAGCGAGGAAATACTAAATATCCTTTTGTCCCTTTTCATTTCAATGTGACCATTTTCAGAGAGTTTGCAGATTACCTTCTATGTACTCTGTATATATCTTGCATGTACCTAGTTATTTACTTGTCTCTCCCATTAGAATGTGAATTCCTTGGGAGCGGGGGAGCATGTTTTTGCCTTTCTTTATGTCTCCAGCACTTAGCACATGGTAAGCACTTCATAAATGCTTGTCACCTGACTGAAAAAGTCACAGAATCTTGAAGTTGGGAGGGAACTAGTCAATGCCACCTGTATAGAAATCTCCTCTACAGCATTCCCAACAATTGGTCATTTAGCCTTCTCTTGAGGATAGTCAATGAGAGAGAGACTCCCTTACTCTCTTCTCCTCTCTGAGTAGTGAGACATCTGTCCTCTAGTACTGCAGCAGGGAGGGCTTGCTGAGCTCTTTTAGGGGCTGCTCATCCGCCTCTGACCCAACTCTCACCTGTGGCTCCAAGAAGCTGTAGCAGGTGCAGTGCCCACACCCCAATAGAACTGTCTCAGCAGAGGACCTAAACCAGGCTGAGGGTAACTGACAGACCTCAAACACATTGGTGAGTTAGGGAGTTGCCCACCCCAAGTATGTGAAGACTTCCCTGGTAGAATGAGTGGATGAGAACAATTTGTTCCAATGAGGCCATGAAGATGACTGAAGCAGGCTCTGAGGACTGCTGAGAGCTTTGTCAACCATCAAAGACTCCAAGGTACTCCATAGCATACCAGGCCATTGCCAGTCATCTTGATTTTTCTCTTGACCCTGGCCTTCGGTGACTCTGGAAGAGAAAAGGAGGCTGATGATTTTGCATAGCTCTGCCTCACTTAAATCCAGTCCACAAACAGGTCAAGACATGGTTCCTTGATGCCACTGGTCCTCTTTGAAAACAAAGGATGAACTAAAACAACAACAACAGTATCTCTCTGTACTCCAAGCTCTTTTAAAGATTACCCATAGTGACTTAGCAATCATAACTGTCAGCTCTTTCAATCCTCTTAAGATATTATTCGTCTAGTCCTGATAACTTGAACTCCTTGAGGGCAGCCTGCTCATCTCCTCACTTATCAGCATTTCCTACTCCATGCTAATCCTTTTTGTTCTGTTCTGTGCAATGCAAAAATCAGTCTTTTTGGTTGGAAGCATAGGAACAAAACAAGACCTGGATAATTCAATCTTCTTGGGGCAGCTAGGTGATAGGGTGGATAAAGTGCCAGGCCTGGAGTCAGGAATACTAGCGGTCAAGTCCAGCCTCAGGCACTTAATAGCTGTGTGACCCTGGGCAAGTCACTTACCCCTGCTTGCCTCAATTTCTTCATCTGTAAAATGAGTTGGAGAAGGAAATGGCAAACCACTCCAGTATCTTTGCCAAGAAAACCCTAAATGGGGTCAAGAAGAGTCAGACATGACTGAAATGACCAGGCAATAACGAATGCAAACAACTAGACTTGTTTTCTCTGAAGCAGCAAAGACTTGTCTGTGGTTCCTTTCTTAAAGCATAAGCTGGGCCCTCAGGCTAGAATGAGTTAGTCAGCAGCCACTCTTCCTTGGGGAAGCATGGCACTAAGAACTCAAGAGAACAAGGGCTAACAAAGAAGCGCAGTGTCACAGAATACCTAGCATGACTTGTAGGCCTAGTGGTGACGAAGAACAGGCCAAGCAGATTCCTGAGACTCAGAGAAAACTCAAGAAAGCACTAGCAACACGCAAACTGGTAGCAACCGCTAGCAACTCTGCCATGGGTGACAAAGGTTAATCTCCCCCTTACACTCAGTTACTCAACCTGGCTTCCATAATCTACCCAAATCTTCTCTAAATCTGAATGTGTCTAGTTCCCTGTGTATCTCAGTCATTCCTTTAAGCAGTTTCTCCTTTCCTCTCTTCTTATTTGAATAATTTCTGATGATTTTTTGCAGCTCTGCCTCACTTAAATCCAATTTGTGCTCAGATCAAGACATCCCCCTCATGATGTCATTGGTCCTCTATGAGAACAGAGGACGAACAACAATTTCTGCTTATCTTCAGAATTCCAGTCTCGAGAACTTCCCATCCCTGTTGGATCAACTTCCCCTTCAAAATATCAGGCCATTGAATCCCAGCTGTCCTTTCTTTGAATGCTGTGAAATGTGCTTTCTCCAAATCTACCTTTCAAGCCAGACTACCTGAATTTGCTGCTTCTCACCATCATGAACTCAGTGATTATAAATGGTCACTTTCACTCAAGTTTCCTCACGTTCCCATTTCAATAACCTCTTTTTCTTTATGGTTGAAATCATCTGATAATATTTCCTTTTGTTGAGTTCCAGAAGAATGGAATGAATATGACCTTTTCATTTTTGAATTATGCCCAGGCAAGCCAGTATAGAAACTGGTAAGATGGTTCAGTGAATTATGTATCTGGAATGCTTACAGTCCACTGAAGCTCTAGATCAAGGGCAGGGAACCTGCAGTCTCAAGGCTACATGTGGCCCTCTAGGTCCTCAAGTGCAGTCCTTTGACTGAATCCAAACTTCACAGAACTATGGCTTCCAGACCTCGGGCTCCCTACCCCTGCTGTAGATACTCAGGGATACCACCTGCACATACCCATACTCTAAATGGGGTCTCAGCCTAGCCCTTACAAATATTCAGTTCCTGATCTTTGGGAATACTGAAACCTCAAAATTAACAGAACTTTCTTCTCTTCTTTTCTAGTAGGTATGGTACTTCCTTAACTGCAATTCACTATAAAATACTTTCTTGTTTAGGACAATGGAAGGAAGGAAGGCTAGCATCAAAATAGTTTATGATTTAAAAAATTGGTGATGAATGTAAGGTCATGGTGGCAGATGGTTCTTCTAATACAACCTGTAAAGCATTTACCATATTCTAAATTTGCACTCTTTGCAGACCTGTGCACATATATTCAGCTTTCAGAATAGTTTTGCCAATTATAAACAAACAAAAAAGAGAGAAACTTTTTAATAATGAAAATTGCATTTATCTGTATTAGAATATAATAAATCTCCAGTATAGTCAACTACTACCCATGTTATACAACAGACACATTCTATTTTAGTTGCTAATAAAGGGCTACACAATGCAAAAAAATTCTTGTTGCTTTCTATACCTTTTGAAAAATGAAATTATTATCCTTGCTGGGTATGAAGATACACACCTGTAATCCCAGTTGAAGCTGAGGAGGGCTGAGGCCAGCAGATGTCTTGAATGTGGGAGTTCTGAGCTACAGTGGGCTAAAGATGATTGATTAGGTATCCACAATAACCTCAGCATCCATATGGTAAGCTGCCAAGGAGGGACACACCAAGTTGCCTAAGGAGAAGTGACTGAGCCCAGGTCATAAATGGAGCAGATCAAAGCTCTTGTGCTGAGTTGTAATGGGAATGGGGACTATGAATAGTTGCTACCTGGGCGAGATGGGAGGACCCAGTCTTTTTTTAAAAAATGAAATTATCTTTAAGATAAGTCACAAATATAGGAGCTCCTTGGCTTTTGGTAGGAAGAGAGTGCCAAAAGATGCCTGAATGGTTTGGATAAACAATCCTTTCTCTTGCTATCCTTCCTCCCATGGTGTACCTGCTACTCTCAATGGTGTGATGCTGGTCATCAGATTTGTGATTTGTCTCCCAAACTCATTACCCAATTACTCCTTTTGTCCAAGTGGTGTGTAGTATACATGTTGTTGTTTAGTTGTTCAGTAATGTTGGACTTTTTGTGATCCCATGGACCATGTCGTATCAGTACTGCCCTTGGGGTTTTCTTGGCAAAGATGCTGAAGTGGTTGCCATTTCCTTCTCCAGTAGATTAAGGCAGCCAGGGTTAAGTGACTTGCCAAGGGTCACATGGCTAGTTAGTGTCTGAGGTCAAATTTGAACTCACTCAGGTCTTCCAGGCTCCAGGCCCAGTGCTCTATCCACTGCGCCATCTACCTGCTTCCATTTAGGTATATATGATATACCCCCTAACATAACATCTATTTCTGTTGATTCTTATCCAGTTGCTTTTTATCATGGAGTGCTCACTCAAAAGCTTTTCCCTTAAGCCTCTGGACTTCATGTGAATCTGTCTCCAATATACAATACTATCCACCCACCCTACTTTTATCTTTCCCTCTCATTTTGAATAAGGTATATGCCCTTCTAGAGTTCAATTTCTATTCAAAGGCCCTATCTTACAAAGTCTTAGGATACCTGTGAGGTCAAGTTTTCCTCCTTGCATTCAGGTCACTAATTCACCATATTTCTTACCCACATTTGATGCCTTTGTATGTAGACATCAGAGGCCATGGGGTTTTTATTTTTGGTTCTCTTCTTGGATGTTGGACATTGGTCCTTTCTTCTGCTATTTCTTGTATGTGGTAGCTGCTACCCTTGTCAGATCTATGGAGGTTTTTTCCCCCCTCCTTGTCTTTCCTTTTCAGTTTAAATTCCTCCTAATTAGATTCACAAGACATAAAGAAAATATGTTTTTACTGGCCATTTTTAGACTTTCTTGCCAAGAGCCCATAAGTCATGACTGAGTAATGAACAAATTCACAAAACCTGTTCTATTTTCATTTTGGTTCCAATGCAAAATGTTAATTTGCTTAAATTACATTTTATGTCTTTATTAGAGCTTTTCCTATATTAAAGTGTTGAATAAACTTGGTTCCTATAAGGCCTATGAAATTCAAATATGCTTGTGAAATCTAGCAGAAAAGACTCTAGACTGGGAGGCAGGAGAGCTGAGTGCTAGTTTTAGCTCTGCCAAAAACACCTATGTGAATTAGGGTACATTCTACCATTTTTCTAGGCCTCCCTCTTCTGTAAAAAAAAGAGGGGTTGGATTAGATGTTCTATTTCTCAGATAGCTTCCAGTTCTTAACATTTTAGATTATAATTCTGTGAATGAACAATAGAATTATCTGAGCATATCAGCAATAGACAACCTCCATTTCCCCCTTACATTTTCCCCAAAGTTGGATATATTGGTACAGAGCCTTGGGACTGCACCCTAACTCAAAGGGTAGATCCTCCAGCAGTGGCTGCCCCAAGTTCAAGGTTTTCCATGCGCGTATACCCACGCAAAACCATTGGAGGACACAGACGTTTAAATGGCAATAAAACATTTCCTCTATATAAGCCTGGGGCTCACTGTCCCACAATATCAACAGTGGAAAGAATGGACACAAATAGGGAATTTGCTTGGAGGTGCACACACACAGGGAACACACGTGGTCAGGGCACACGAATAGTGTTGGATGCTTGCAGGACCGCTGATGTCTTTTGGCGATAGCATCATGTTGCCTTCCATAAGGCCTGTTCCCCAATGGTCTTCAGACACATAATCTTCTCTGTCTCAGCTGGACACTGCTTTTGGATGCTGCTTTGATAGCACAGAATGTCTTCTGGATGATTCTCTGTCTGACCCTGTTTCCAGAATTTTTGGCTCAGCTAAATTTCTTGGTGGTCTCTTCTTTTTGAGACGAGTAGGCACTGACATTCTTTTAGTTCATTTGTTGTTGTTGTTCAGTTGTGTGTGGGATGCCACTCAAATTAAAAAACATACTTAGAGGTCTTCAAGGAGAAACAGAAAGTTAATTTTTATTTGCTATTCTCGAGAATAGGGTGTCCCTCCACCAGTAGGCTCTGATAAGGGGAGACAGATTACTGAAGTAGAAGAACCAGATTAAATAGCCCTAACGGGTAAAGCCCCTCTCCCACTAACTGGCCAATGTTTGGCTCACAACCTATAGAAACAGAACACAAAACAAAAGGAACTATATACATATCTGTATTTAGCCCCTTAGTTTACTGAAGTGTTGCAAGAAACAATTAAAAATGTACAGTCAAGGTAGACGCTGTACTGTATAGCCAGGTCACCATGACCGAAATATAGCAACAGGTGTAACAACATGATACAAAGAGGGGTTTCAAGGGTTTCCGGCTTGGCAAACTTTAACTACCAAGACAACAATGGCATAAGAAGGGGGGGATATTTGGGGCTGGATTCCTGTAACTCAGGTGATTTCTAATAAACTGAAATTTAGGCCTGTCAGGCTACTATGCCTGCCTTGAGTCACAATACAATTTCTATTTATTCTTCTAAAAAATCTTCACAGGAACCCTCATCCCACTCAGTCTTACCCGAAATCTTAATTATGCTGAGGAGTCTTCACTGGGACCTCCCATTCAGTTGTGTCTGACTCTTTGTGACCCCATTTGGGGTTTTCTTGGCAAAGATACTGGAATGCTTTTCCATTTTCTTCTCCAGCTCATTTTACAGATGAGGAAATTGAGTCAAACAGGGTAAAGTGATTTGCCCAGGGTCACACAGTGTCTGATGCTGGATTTACTGAGCCATGTAGCTGCCCCTCCTTTATTTCATAGCCAGAGGCTATTTTGTTGTTGCTGCTGTTAAACAATTCTTTTCAAAAGGCTTTTGCCTTAGACCAGCAGTGTTCTTTAGGGAAAGGGAGAAAAACCCTGACTTTTTTCCCCTTGTGATTTTTTGTTTTGTTTTTGTTCTCCTACAAAACTTACCTGGGCCTCTCATGTCCAAAAGGCAATTCAAACCTCCGAGACTCTAGCTCTCTAGAACAGAGTTTGGGCAATTTCATTCTCTCCCATAGTGAGCATTCTTTATGTCTGTTGATTTTAATCTCCTAAAACTAAACTATAAGCCATATAATGGCTATTTGTCCAATAACTACCAATCTATAATAGTAATCAATCAATAAACATTTATTAAGTACCTACTATGTGCCAGGCACTGTGCTAAGCATTAGAGTACAAAAAAAAAAAAGGAAAATACAGTCCTTGCTTTCAAGGAACTTCCAGTCTAATTGGGGAAAACAACATACAAAAAATATATACAAGGCTAGCTATATACAGGATAAATAAGAAATATTTAACAGAGGGAAGTCACTAGAATTAAGGTGGGTTGGGAAAGGCTTCCTGTAAAAGAAGGGGAGAGATGGGGAGAAAATTTGGAACTCAATCTTGTGGAAATGAAGGTTGAAAACTAAATACATAAATAAATTGAAATGTGAAAAAAGAAAAAAGAAAAATCACTTTGGTGGCTCTGAGGTTAAGGGTTCTGAAGTTTTTTAACTCTGTATCTCTTCTGGTCTCTCATGTGGATCAAGGAGGAGGATGGGGAGAAAGCATCACCTACAAAAAGCTAAGTCCAAGTGGCAAGGTCATAGATAGACTCATCTAACAACATTCCTAGCCTTTCATATTCAGATATGGCCACCCAAAGTCTAGATGACCTTTAGGCTCCCACTTAGCCTTGTTTTAATGTTCCTGAACCATTTTTGTTTTTTGCTCTTTTACAAATATTCCTTTTCTTCCCTTCAATAGAATATAAACTTATAACTAAAATGTAAGAATGATTTCATTTATGTCTTTCATCCCCATTACTTTACACATTGCTTTGTATATGGTAGGTGCTTGATTAATTGTACTGAATTGAAATCCCTCTTGTCCCAAGTACTGAGTGGAAACACCATCACCTTTTGTCTATTTCAGGGTCACCCCTGGCTTTCACCAGCGCTCCTGGGTATACAGTTGTTTTCGACCAGAAGGATAAAAGCATTCAAGTGAGTCATCCTGGGGAAGTCCCAGAGGTCCATTGCATTTCCCAAAATCCTCTGCAGTACAGCATTACTTCATCTTCCAGTGTACAGAAAATTAGAGAGCTAGAGAACATAATTGCCAGAGATCCAGGTAAGAAAAACAAACAAACACCCCCTCTCCTCCCTCAAAAAAAAAAAAAAGACAGAAAGAAACATCCTGGGATCAAGGAGGTGCTTCTTGCTCTAGAAAACTAAAACTGAACATAAAGGTTATACTTAGTGTATATACTACTGACTTTTTTGTATTAAACATCTGGCTGGGTTGCTGCTAACTTTGCTTCCTTCTAAATAGTATTCTGGTGAACCCTTATATAGGACATAGGCGAGATGAGCTGGTGGTACCAAGGACATGTCAGATCTCCCATCCAATCATAGCCAGACTATGATTTGCTACTGCATTGTCATGGTGAGTCTTAAATGGTTTAGTGTAAAGAGTTCTAGAATAGGAATTTACTTAAATTACTTAACTTCTCCAGGCTTCAGTTTTCTTGCCTTCAATAAAAAGGAATTAAATATGGTAAGGTGAGGTCAAAAAATTTGTAATCTAACTGAATCCCAACTCTGCCATTTACTATGTGACCTTGGGCCTCAGTTTCCTCCTCTGAAAATGAGGGGTTTATTATAGCAATAGATGCAAAGAAAACCTTTAATAAAATCGAATATTTGTTCATGGCAAAAAATACTAAAAAGAATGGATATAGAGAGGTTTTTCTTCAAAACAATAAGCTGAATCAACGTAACATATAATTAGAATCATTGAGTCATTTTTAGTCATGTCTGACTGTTTGTGACTCCATTCAGGGTTTTCTTGGCAAAGATATTAGACTGGTTTGCCATTTCCTTCTCCAGCTCATTTTACAGATGAAGAAACTGAGGCAAACAGTTAAGTGACTTGTCCAGGGTCATATAGCTAATAAGTGTTTGAGACTGGATTTGAACTCAGGTCTTCCCGACTCTAGACCCTGTTGTCTCTTCATTGTACCACCCAGCTACCCCTCTAATTAGAAACATTCCCACTAAAAACAGGTACAAAGTAAGAATAGCCATTCTCACCTTTAGTATTTTCACTCTCACAGTATGAGAAAATTTCAAAATCACAATAGTATAGGAAAAAGGTATTAGAGGGATTAACATTAGAAGTGAAGAAGTCCAGATATCATTATTGGGATATGGCATAATAATGTATATAGAAAATTTGACTTCCTCTACCAAAAAAATAGATTTAAGCCAAGCTTCAAAATATAAAGTTAATTCACATAATCATCAGCATTCCTAAGTAATAACAGAAAAAGATCTTTTAAAAAGAGAAACTCATTGTAAAGTAACTCTAGAAACTATAAAATATTTGGGAATTAATCTACCTAGGAATACAAAGAATCTGTATAAGAACAACTATAAAATTATAATGACCAAAATAAAGGAGAACCTAAATAACTGAATGTTCATGAAGGGATTGGATTAATATAGCAAGAAGGACAATTAATATGTCTGTAGGTAACTCCATACCAATCAAAATACCAAGGTGCTTCATTTTAGAATTAGGAAAAAATCATAATGACATTATGAAAAAAGTGGGTTAAAATACCTCGTGGCACATTAAAAAGAAAAGCTGATGTAAGCAGTTTTACTATCTTAAGACTTTAAAGCTGGTCATCATGACAAGTGGTCATCATCGAAACTATCTGGTAGTAGGGAAACAGAAAGAAGTAGATCAATGAAAGATGCCCCAGTTATCCAATCAAATATGTAGAAATGATTAATGTTTGATAAACCCATGGAAAATAAAAACTAGATAAAGAATTCATTATTTCACAAATGCACGTGAGAAAATTGATGGTATTCTGGGGTAGGAAAGGGAATTAGACTTACATTTTACACCATACACCTGAATGAATTTTAGCTATTGAGAGACAAACATTTTTTTAAAACTCTAACATTCTCTTCCAAAAAATGGAATAAAGTGATTAGCTCAATTGTAGAGGAAAAATGACTTATTTTTCAATTCAACAAAGAGAAGAAATTTATTAGGTAGAGGGTAGATGAAAAATTTTAAAAATTTGTACAATATAAACTGTATAATTAAGATAAAAAATAACAGATTGGGAAAAAATTCATGGCATGTATGATAGATAAAAATTAGACACATAAAAGATATAAAGGATTATTAAAAGTTGCAATGATAATTCCAATTCTACAATGGATAGTGGTCAAAGAGTAAGAAAAAATGTTTTAAAACAGGATATAAAAATTGTTAATAATCACTATAAAAACTGCAACTACAGTGTTAGAAATAGAGCCCCTTGAATCCCCTCAGCAGAGTTGGGAAGTTAGCCTGCAGCCCATTGCTTTCCAAGTTGCAATGCTGGGTGGAGTCTCAATCTTAATAATGAAACTTAAGTCTCAAGTGAAAGAATTGTTAATTACAGTTCTTGCAAGAATCGGGTGCGCCCCCTAGTGGGAGAGGCACACTGTACAGAAGTGAGAGCCAGCTTCTGCACAGTTAGTGTGATCCTGCTCCTCCTCTCAGGTCTAGGATAGGTCCAGCTCATCTGAGTTACACCCTTCCTGAACCACCCATCCCATGATCCTCCTTTTCATGTCAAGGCCTCCCAATTCGCGAGTCCCATGTTCAAAAAGGGCGACTCGGCCCTTGGAGTGTGCCAGTTAATATTCAATAAGCTTATTAAGCAGGCATGCACAGTGGAGAAAAGCCTTTGCCCTGTCTTTGACCCCAACAGGCTGCAACCAGTTTAGCCTCCAGGGCTCTTTCTTAAGGACCTAGTTGTTTGCAGAATGTTTGGGGCACTTTCTGATTGGTTGAGGGACTATCCACAAGGTCTTGGAATTCCATTGTTCTGCTGTGGCAGCCTAACTTCTAAATTTTTCCCACATGCAATGATAATTAAAGAAACACAAAATAATAATAGCTAGCATTTATGTAGTGCTTTAAGTTTTGAAAAGTGATTTCAATGTTATACATAATATATGTTGAAAACAACTTTGAAGAACCACCTGACACCCATAAACTTGGCAAAAATAAAATTGCATCTTTTCCTAATTAAATTAAAAAATAATAAGCACCTACCCGCTCTCCCTTCCACCTCTCCTTAGCACCCCCTTCCAAGAAAAATAAAACTTCTCAAACGTATATACATAGTCAAGCAAAACATATCCCCACATTGATCACATCCAAAAACGTGTATCTTACTCTGGCTCAGAGAGCTCATTACCTCTCTGTCAGGAGATGGGCAGCATTCAAAATCATTGGTGCTCTAGAATCTTGGTTCCTCATTATGTTAACCAGAGGTCTTAAGTCTTTCAAAATTGTTCATTTTTATAATGTTGTTGTTGTTGTTGTTAAAGCATAAGCTGTTTTCCTGGTTCTGCTCACTTCACTCTGCATCAGTTCAAAGAGAGGTTCAAGTGACACCTATTCCCCCACCCACTCCTTATTTGCAGGATTCTACTTGAGCTCCCCCCTGGGGAAGAGTCTCATTTAATCTAGGAGCTCCTTTGGGATTAGAGAAGTTTCCCTCTGAAGAGAAGCTCAGTTTTTCCTTTTCCTTTTTTGTTTTTGTTAGTCATTTGTTTTATTCCAGTTTTTTGTTTTTTACTCTTTTTACTTGGAGGCAGACTGGAACTTGGCCGGCAGTAGTAGTCTTTGAAAAATTCATACCATATTGTCTGTTTCTTGAATTTGCATACAAATTTGCAATTTATGTTTAGAGTTGATTAGACTCTCCTGGCCCTCAAGATATAAAAGGCCTGGCACCTCCTTGGAGAATGTTCTGGGACTCTACTTAGCATTTAAAAGACCACTAAGAATTGTAGATCTTTTGAAACTTTTTAATGCAGATGCTGGGGGAGGTACTTGAAAGAACAACGGTTGAACTATTATCAAGACCCAAGAGAACTCCCAGTGAGGATATTCTCTCTACGTGTAGGTTGGCACCTCCTCTATGCCTCAGAGAGCTTCCTGGGACATTGAGAGGAAGTGACTTGCCCAGGGTCACATAGCTAGCATGTGTCATAGACAGGGCTTGAACCTAAGATTTCCTGACTTAGACACATATTTTCCAATCATTACCCCATACTGCTTCTCTGAGACTTCTTAGACCCCTGGGCGGGGGAGTAAGGATAGGGTTAGGTTCAGGAGAGAGGCAGATCATCCTTACCTGTCCTTGCTCAACACCTCTCTCTCTGATACTTCCAGTTCTCTACCTTACCTGCCTAAGTATCCACTAATCCCCTCCATCTAAAACCTGCACTCCATCCCTTAGGAAACTGTGGAATAACTAACAGCTACCTTGGCCAGATTGGCATGATCACACCAGCTGCCACCTTTGTGGCCGAATGCTGGGGCCTCACCGTAGGCAAACTCGGTCCGTCTCAGGCCAAGTATACCTTAAGATATTCAGGAGGGCATTCTTTGGGCTTCAGACGAGGGTTCTGTGGATGGTTCTGTTTATTACTTGTTTGGAGTGAGGTTACTGAAAGAGGCCTAGAAGAGGTTCAACTCTAGAGAAGGAGCTCCGTATATTCAAAGTCCTTTTCTACATCTTAAATTAAGAGGATTACCAGTGGCCACCAGAGGGAGCTAAGTACATTCACTATGCTTGACAAACGCCAGGAAGAATTTAGAACATGTAATATTAGATCTGGAAAGGACCTTATAGACCATGGAGTTCAGAGGTGTTAGGGTCTGTGAACTCTTTTTTTTTAAAAAAAATTAACATATTTCAGTATAATTGTTTCCCTTTGTAACTTTGTGTACTTTGTTTTATATATTTAAAAACATCCTGAAATTCTGTGGGCTTCATCAGACCCCCAGAGGGGTGCGTAACACAAAAAAGATTAAGAATGCCTGATTTAGCCTAACCTTCTCACTTTACAGATGAGGAAACTGAGGCTGGCTGGGGCAGGGGAATCGATCTAGAATCAGAGTATCTGTTGGATGGAAAAATAAGACTCCTGGATTTTGAGTCAGAGAGTCCGGATTGAAACCCTGGCTGTCACTCCCTGCTTGTGTGGCTTGGTCACAAGTGTGTCAGAGCCAGCTCTCACCGGCAGAGCTGATTTTTACATTCTCAC